CCCCACCCCCACCCCTGCCCCAGTGGCTCTAGGGGAGATTCCATTCCTTGCCTCATTTATCTTCTGGCAGCTGCCAACATTCCTTGTCTTGTGGCCTCATCACTCCAATCTCAGCCACCAGGATCTTTTTGACTCCTCTGGGAAACTTCAGTTCTACTCTTAAGGTGTTTCTGATTGGATCAGGCCCACCCACATAATCCAGGAAAATTTACCCATCACAAGACCTTTAATTACATCTGCAAAGACTCTTTATTCAAATAAGACAACATTTACAGATTTCAGGTATTAGGATCTGATATCTTTCTGGGAAAGTAAAGCATTTTTCAACCTACTACACCTAATATTGACAGAAATTCTTATAAACATTACTTGAATCTGGCCCACTGTGTCTTACTCGAATTGTATGAGTCCCCACTTTTACATGTCTATTCTAATTACCCAAAGCTTAGTCTTATTTAAAAGCTTTCAATGTTACCTAAATTTGTTCCATTTGAAAATATATTAGGATAACCTCCCCCTGTCAAAATTGATTCTTCTTGCTCCATTTCCTGTTTATTACTTTGTCTTCTGTGCCTCTATCCATGGGGTAAGGCTTTGAGAGACACCCTTTTTCATATCACCCACATCCAATTGATCCTTGAGCTCTACTAGTACTTTTAGTTCATTTGAAATAGTTCTACTCCCCCCCTCCCAACTCTGAATGTCCTTGCCTTCATTGGCACTGGAGGTGACAGAGCTCAGCCAGACTGCTACCATGCTCTGTCCTCTACCTCAGCTCACCTTCTGTACATTCTCTATTTTGATGTCAGAGTGATCTTTCTAAAACTTCCTAAATCTGATCAACTCACTTCTCTACTTAAAACCTTCAAATGGCTCTCCTACCCTCAGATTCAAGTCCAAGTAGCACAGACAGATAAGACCTTTCTTGATTTGGCCTCTACCTACCCCTACAAACTCATCTTGTATTTCCTTCCGATCTCTTCCATGTATCCTTAGGAGCCTGAACTAGTGACAACGTTTCCCAAAGTGTCATGATTTTTTTTTTTACTTGTATGTTTTGGAATATGACATATAGATTCCTGCCTTTCCAGGCCAAAGAACTAGCCACCTCCCATTTATCTTACAGAATCTGGCCAAGACAGCATCTTGTTTAAGAATGTATCCCTATACACTTTAAAAAGTGAATGGCATAGTTGGTGAACTGTATCACCATAATGCTGTGATTTAAAAAATAAGAAGAAGACATCCTTTTCAGTAGTGTTCCCAAATTCATGTAGTATTATACACAACTTCTACAACTTTGCAAGACCCACTGTGCTACCTCCATAACATTTATACTGTGGCGCGATCTATGAGCTTATCTGATTGCTTGAGGGCAGGGCCACGGCACATTAATTTTCACATTCTCCTCAACTAGGATGATATCTGGCACAAAGCAGACACTCAGTAAATGCTTATTGGATGAATAACTGAAATATTATAATCCTTAAACACAGTGATACTTGGTTGACACCAATTATAATAAAACCCAGTGAGTATGAGAATTGAGTTTACAGTTACCCAGATTGAAGTTACGTTGGTAGAATTTGACACTTAGAAAGTAAGCTACCTCTAGGACTGAATTACTGTTAGGATTGACCACTACTAGACTTTAAAATTCAGAGCGTAGGCATGGGAATGTAATTGTTCTTTAAAGCAGTATAATCATCTCCCAGTGAAATACAGCCTTTCTCCTTGAATTCCAGGAGTTAATTCATATTTATCAATCTGCTTACATGAGTGAGTCATCATCCGGCTGCTATAAGCTGTATTTAATTAAAGCATTTTTGCTAAGAGCTTCTGTCCTTCCAACTTAAGCTCTGTAAATTTTCTTGGCTGCCACATTATAGAATAAAATGAGCATGTCCTTTTGAGTGGGGCCAAGGCAGGCATTATAAATACTTAAAACCAGCATCCACATGCAACAGAAGAATCTTCATTTCTTGGCATCACCAAATATATAAACTTTCATGTTTTTCTTCCTGTTTTCAAAGCTTCTCCACAAATGGTAAAGATTACTCTTCACAGGATGATATTTCTAACAACCAACTTTTCATTAATTGTGGCAATAACAAAATAGTTTGTAATGTTCTATGTTCTTAATTGGAAGGGAATAAAGACCAGAAGAATTACATCCAAATTTTAGAAGACTTAATTTATTAATTGTTTTCCTAACACAGTATGTCTCCTGACACAGGAAACTTGACTTCTTATCCACCACCATTTAGCAGGCGATACAGGAGTGGGGGGAAAAGGATAAGCGGTTCTCGCTTGGCTACCCTGATCTGGTGGGGTGGGGTGGGAGAGGAACTGAGGAGTCTCACATTATGGTAACTCCCAGTTTTCTATCTAGATGGTTTAGGAGGAATTACATCGGAATAACCTCCACTACCCCACTGCCATTATCCCCTGCCTCAACTCCTTGTTTGTCTTTTATGAGAACTTTGTAATTTAGTTTTTGTTTCTTTATCCTTTTACTGTCTTTCTCCACTACAACTTGTAAGCTTCCACGGAGCAGGCCCTGTGTCTCTCTCCTCACTAAACCCAATGCCTTATCTATTCTTGGAATGTACTAAATGTTGGGTTGAAAATGACATTAAGCATAAAAGTTCATTAGAATAAAATGTAGAAGCAGCAGAATGGAATATGAACTCAAGAAATAAAAGGAATAATGTGAAATCTCTGTCTGTAAAAAAAAAAAAAAAAAAAAAGAAAAGAAAAGAAAAAGAAATCTGAAAGACCACACTGCCTGGGGTGGAAATGTATGCTAACTCCAAAGCTCCAGGCAGGGGTAAGTCTTGAATAAAGGAGGAGCAGGCAGGGCAGCAAAAATGCAAATTGGGGTCCGATTCTGGCTGACAGCAAGGAACTGGCAGCCTTGGGAGAGGAAAACATCCCCTCAAGCGTTCCTCATTTCCTTTTTCTTTTTTAATTCTGTGTGGTTTTATTAACAGGGTCATAATAGCATCATTTTCAAAGTAAATATATGGTGCTCACATTGCATTATGGTTTACAGAGACCTCCTGGTTAGTCGGCCCTTTACAACACTGCTTCTGTAGGAAAACATGAGTCACTAATGTTGACATATAAATTTGAACACAAACATTTAGAAACAGTGGACTCAAATTGTAGCCTGGCTCTCATGTCCACTGTCTCTTATTTCTCTCTTTCTTTTCACCTTCTCTCACCTCTCTGTCTTCCCTGTGCCCATCCCTCTTCCTGTCTTCAGACAAACAAACAAGAGCACACACACGTATATTTTATATTTTTCTGAAACAAAATTATTATAAAGATACCCAGTCTCAACTCTAGTTACTAAGTCCTAGAATTATTCCTTAATAATGATTATGGGTCCGATACACTGAACGCACACTATCCCTACTGAATTCTTTCCATTCCATTAACACCCTACTTGAGAACTTATTCACCCATGCCTGGTCTGTCAAAATAGCCAAACATGTTAATGTAATTAATATGCAGCTAATTAGTGTCCTGATTCCTGTCTCTTCTCTTTTTGATACATTCTGCATATGCCAATATCTCATGACTGCCTCTAAAGCACTACTTTTCACCACGTTATTCTTTTTCTCATAGAACTCCCAAGGTAAGTGAATAAAGTTTGCTTCTCAAATTCACAGTCAAGGATTTCCATGTAATGACCTAACCACTTCCCCAACTTTACTCCCTACCACCCAATAAGGACCCTTCACAGGGCCTCATTAAGATCGTTTCATTATTTCTTGGGCACACCCTTAACCATCCTACCTGTGTGTCTTCACTCATATTAGTCCTCCCTCTTCTCTTCCTTTCATTCCCAGCCCTTTCATGACCAAATCTAGCCCTTGGTAAAAAATTTTCATTCACCTCACGATACAAGATTCTCTTCCTATAAACTTTCAGCATTTAGGATAGCCCCACGCATTTCTGCAGTATTCTCACAAATTTTTTCACGTTTCCCACATAAGTCTCACAACCTTATGAAGTAGGCACTATAAATATGTACACTTTTTGATGAGGAGAAGAGGTTTTCAGAGATGTGGAGCAATTTGCCCAAGCTCACACAGCTGAAATGTGGCAGAGATCCATATTTGGCATTTACTATAAACTGTCCCAGGTTGGTAGTTATTTGCATCATTTTTTCCCATCTTCCAAACTAGATTATAAGCTCCATGAAGGCAGTAGCTATGAGAACTTGCCCCGGTGCATTATAATATGCAAAATGAGAATTCAATGAATATTTGATCAAGTGATTGTAAGAGGTCAACCCCTCCACCTATTTAAGAAACCTCTGTGATTCTTCTCCCACTCTCATGTTCAATGTTTAGATTCTGAGCACACAAATGAACACTTGTGATAAACTGCAATATATCGTGTCTATAATTTAATTTCTTGACCTAGTTCCCCCTTGAATAAATTGCAAATTCCCTGAAGATAGTAATGATGACAAATAAAATGAGATCCGCTGGTATTTAAATGTTGGCCATGAGTTGTAGAAATAACTATATTTCCAAACTCATCTGAAGTTCCATCATCTGGCACACTTGCTAAGAATACATCTATCCAGGATTCAGATTCAGTGCTTTCTCAGTCATGTGTCTTTAATCTGGTTCTTATTGAACACACGATCCCGGAGAGCATACTACAAAACAAGGAGCACATGGCAAAGTGACATTGACCTAAAGGCCCAGCAAAGAACTATGTTGTTGTGTCAAACACTCGTTTGAGTGGGCTTGCAATTCATACTGCACAAAGACTTCCTGCTAGCAAAATTCTTTCTGGTTTGTAAAAGAGGATTAAATATTTCAATATTTTAAAGCACTCCACAAAGAGCTTCTACAACTTCCAAGTCTGGAAGTCACTGAACAAGAACAGGGCATCCAGAAGGAGAATTTGAATAGTCAAAACATTTCATGACAGGAAAAGAGCTTCATCCTTTAGAACTGAATTGGGAAGGTACTCACAGGCTCTCCCTGTGATCCATCCTGGCCTGGAGCACCCGGAGGTCCTGCTTCTCCCTTTTAAGGATGAAAAGAAACAAAGAATTCCATTTTCAGACATGCTTATAAAATAACAGTATATTTTAGGACATTATATAATAAAGCATATTAGATACAAACTGAAAAATAAAAATGACTTCTAGATTATTCATATTAACTTTTCCTGACATCAAATAACTTACTCTGGAATTTATAAAGTGACTATACAAATATCAAATCTATACATGACAGCAGATAGTTAAGTTATAACGTAACTGTGGTACCGCATGCTCATGAGAATAGGACATTATTCTTCAAAATAAATGTGACCAAGGTTTATGTCAATCCTTTTAATATTTATTTTATTTTCATTTTTACTTTGAAATTTGTTATTATATTGGACCTAATTTGACCTTGCCTCGCAAGAGTTGCATTTTTTTTTTTTAGCTGAGCCATCCTGCCACCTGTTGGCAGCTCAGTGGCAGCTCAGCTCGGGCTAGGAATCGAACCGGCGACCCTGTTGCTCAGCGCTCCCACTCTTGAGTGAGCTCTTAGCCAACTGAGCCACTTGGTTGGCCCAAGAGTTGCATTTTTTATTGATAGGTTATTACATGAAAATTTTGGCACTCTAATTTAGTATCTACCTATTTAAAATAAACATCAAAAATGTGTATTTTTAGGTAGCTATCAAAATTATAATTTTTAGTTGTATACCTTTACATTTCTATGCTCAAATTATTAAAGCATTTTATTTTACATCCACCTTTTAGCACCCTAAAAGTTTTTCCCGAATTTAGGCTTTTTGAAGCCTAACCGTCATTAAGAGTCATGATTTTGTCTCTCCAGCAAAATGCTGCATTATAGCAAGTAGAGTTCTCTACAATTATGCCCCACTTGTTTCATACCAGGAAGAACATTTCATCCTATATGAGAGCAAGAGAGAAAGTAAAAACAAAAGCATTGTTTTTTGTTTTTGTTTTTGTTTTTTTATAAATACCTCAAACGTCTGAATTGAAATAGGTTTAAGAGGGAAGAGTCTCAAAATACATGTACCAAAGTATATGTCAACACTGTTTTTAATAGTTTCACATTCTAATGAATTTCCCGAAATTATAGAAAATGAACCACAGAGGGAAGAACCAATAAAATTTGACTAATATAATCAGCATTTAGAAAAAAATTCAACCACATTATATAAACACTGATTCTCCCACTTTCATGAATTCTTGCATTTTATGAATTCTTAGCAAAGTGAAATGCCAACTAAAGCCAAGAATTTAATCTGTTCCAATTTAATTTACAAAGAGTAGCTGACAGTTGAGAATAGAGGGAACAAAGAATGTTTTCCTGCAAATTAACCAAATTGCAGGGAGGGAGTTCCTGCTGACCCAATGGTTCTACAGAAGAGCTTATGAAAATATCAAAGAGAAACAAAGATGTTGGATCCACTTAGTTTAAAAGCTACAGATTCAAAAGCCCGGAAAATTAGGGAAAAGAGATATGTCAAGTCCTAAAACAACAGGAAATAATGCATAACTATACATGAACTCAACACTCGTATCACTGGTCAGGAGGATTCATCCAAGTCAGCAGCTCTCCAGCATGGCCCCACACCAGCCAGGTCAGCTTCACTTCCTGTGGGAACTTATTCAAAGTGCAACTTTCAGGCCCTCCTGAAGACCTACTGAATCAGGAACTATGAGTGGTGAAGCCCAGAAATCTGTTTTTACATATCTCCAGCTGATTTGATGAGATGGGAACAGTGGCACAGAGGTAAGTCATTAGGCCATTTACTTCCCCTACCTCTGGGTACTGTCTTATGTGATGTGTGTAGGCAAATCTGTAGTTTAGATTTTACTGTCTATAAAGCAAGGAGGGGATGGCAGTTGTCAAGTAGTAAAGACGAGTAATTTGGGATTACATGTCTACTTTGGTTGGTGAAAATCTCCTTTATTTCTCTGACCATTGACCCAATCTTATTATTTATTTTAATTAACAGGAGGTCTTCTTAAAAAAAAACAAACTAATCATCAGCAAGGTTTATCAAGAATGAAATGTCACAATATTTGGAGGATTTGGTTTATCCTTATTCTTCCTACTTGTAGTTAGGACAGATAATCAGAATGATGTAGAATTATACAAACCAAGTATCACCTGTTCTTTATAATTATGGCAATGATTCTCAAACTTTAGCTGCCATCAGAATCACCTGGAGGGTTTGTTAAGCTGTCACTTGTGGACCCCCACCCTTGCGTTTCTGGTTCCATAGGTCTGAGGTGGATCCCCAAAATTTGCAATTCTGACACGTTCCCAGGAAGTGTTATTACTGCTGGTCTTTGGACCTTAATTTGAAAATCACTGCTCTAGCTCACATCTCAAGATAGAGACTTACACACCCTTTCTGCTGTTACCAATCCTCTCTCTGTGCAGTACAATGGCATTGCATAGCTTTACACTTGACACTGAATTTTACAATAGCCAGGTTGTTCAGCAGGTGTCTTGTTTATGCAGGTGTTGTTTTCCTGACTTGCCCATTCTTTAAAGGCAGAAAACACATCTTACATGAGGTTTTCTTTCTTTCTTTTTAATCACCTAGAATATTTAGTATAGTGCTGAAGAGAATGTAAGACTATATGTAAGGCTACATGTTCCCTTGTTTTCAAACACTGAAGCATATCAGGGAAGGAGGAATGGATTATTTATTCCTCCATTGTCAATTTCAAGGGGATAAAGAATATGGGAAAAAAATTGTGGATAGGGCTACAGCATTTGCTGTCAGAAGATTATTCTGGTTAGTTATCATAAAATGATGTCCATTAATCTTTACCTAGTAGTGTTCCCTTCATTTCTTTTAATAATGTTTCATTGGGAGATGAAAGGATAATTTCTGCTTGGCCATTTTCTATAACATAGTCAAATGCAGTATACAACTAACCTGTGACATTTAGTATTATAACCAGAGCTTAACCTGATCACTTGATCACTTTCATGGCCAGGAGAACCTGGGACATGCCAATTTGTTTGGCTGGTGGAAAATAGCATACAGAATGCCTCTACCTCTAAGTTATGATTTTGCTATTTTATTATTAACTTCTTTCTTGCTATGAAAAAATAATTGAGAAAATGCCATGCTAAACATTATTCCTCAACCCAATTTCTACAGTTAATATCAAAGATGATTTATTCCACAATAAACCAGTGATTTTTAAGAAGGAAATTTAACCAAAAAAACAGACATATAAAACTTGCATTGCATGTGTATCTGCTTTCAGGCCGTGGTCTTTGATACTTACCCACAAAAAAATAAAAGGATGGAGAGTAATTTAGGTTGTGGCCATGGCAAACCTCAAAACCAGGTGGAAGATGTGTGACCATTACCATATAATTTAATTTTGAGGAAGATCTTTACTTGTTATTAAACACTTTATTTTGACTTTGATCTTACTGCATGGTTTATTCTTGGTATGTAAACAAATCTCTAGCAAGCCAGAGGTTATACTGAAGACCTAAGGTTGGGAAGCTTCTCCTGGCTAACCAAATAAACAGGCAGGAAGTTGGGAAGGCATCATGCATACACAGGATCACATAGGCTAGGCCTGGAATTCTAGCTCTGCCATGTAACTGACTATACTTTTGAGTAAATTCCTTAATCTCCCTTAATCTGATCTTAATGTCTAAATGACATTGGTACTCCCCATTTTATGGGTCTTTTAATAATAATAATAATAATAATAATAATAGCCTTTGTGAAAGTGCCTTGCACAGCTCTAAGCACAGACGAAAGATCCATAAAAGTAGGCTACTCCACTGACACCGAAAAAATTGGGTTTTAACAATCCTTTACTTTTATGATATGTTTTAGCACTTAAATGTTATTTTTATATTTGTACTGCTGTGGTTTGGCAGTATAATTTAGGTGAAATGAGTATTTTCAAAATTAAGGTCAATATTTTAATCTAGTTAAAATGTCATAAAAGCCGTAGTCAATAGTTTAATCGTCGTTTTCTAAATTTGGAAAAAATTATTTGGGTATCACATGGTTTTTCAACAATTTGGTGAAAGGAATTTTCATTACTTATTTAATTATGGCTGCATGATCTTGGACAAATTACTTCATCTCTCCATTCCTTAGTTTCCTCACCTGTAAGCGGGTAAAATGTTTTTACTTATAACTCCTAATGATTTATGGTATTAATGAGAAAATACTACCAATAAAGTGCTGGGGCAAGAGCCAGGCATGTAGTAAGTATGCAATAAATTATTCCTTTGTTATAATCTGTCCTCTCCTGTGTTTAGTTCTTTTTATATCCAGTTTAAACACATTTCAGTATTTCAATTGCTTTGTAACTAAAATCGTCACCCCTTTACCTCACTATTCATCTGCTTCACTTGCTTATGCAATCTCCAATAGTGAGTAAATCAAACTGAAAACCTCTTCAGAACCATGCCTGGGCTTCTAACTATAGCCATGGGAGGGGCAAAAATAGTACAACTGTCACACAGATTTTAACTTACAGCTTCAACTAGACTTCAGTGCAGCTTCTATATTTCCTTAACCTCCACTCTGTCACATTTTCCCCACAGCTATATAAAAGTTATCCAGTTATGCAGCCTTTCTGTCCTCTCTCTCAACAAATGGCAACTCCCACTTCTTTAGAGAAAACAGAAGTTAAACATACCAAACTCACATGCTTAATCTGCATTTGCATCCACCCATTCTTTTTTTTTTTTTTACAGTGAAACAGGTATCCCTCATACAACCTAAGATAACCCTTTCAGCTCTGTTCAGTATCCCATTCATTTCCCTTTCCAAATGAGATGGTGCTACTTATCCAGAACTAACTACTTGTTGGACATCTACTCGTTGATGTGTCAGAAGAATCTTAAATGAACACATTATACTTCTCACTTCTCCACCTCCTCAAAAGAAATATTAAACCCTTCCCAATAAATAATCCCAGTGATTAAAAAGACTTCTAACTTCATCATACATAAAAAGGAAGGCGTTCTAAGAAGCCTAGTAAGCCAAAGAAAATTTT